GCGGAGAGGAGGCGGCATATTATTATTACGCAGGCCGTATTTGCGCCCAGGAACGACTAATGGTGGTTAGGGCCTACCAACATAAGTCGTTCCTGGGCGCAAATGCGGCCTGCGTAATAATAATATGCCGCCTCCTCTCCCGCACAAGTCTCCGACTTCTGGGCTAATTCTCGTAATTAGAATGAGGAGTAGAGATATTATTATTATTATTATATTTTATATTTGTCGATTTAGTTTTAATAATTATTAACTATTGACATATCGACGTATCCGGAATTAAGTATATCTTTGAAAAAGAAGTCTGATGGATATTTTACCTAAAACACATTTTTAAAAGAACGAAAAATTAAAGAAAAGTATTTTTGAATAAATATTATAGATTGCGATGGTTATCGCAATTAGTGGTGTGTGTCAAAAATAAAAAAATTAGCCGATGCAAAAACTATAACTCCCAGAAGTAGCTTTTACAATAGCATTTTAGCAAACACACAGGCCGATCTTTTTCCATTAAAACGTCATGGTGGGAATACAACACTAGTACAAAGAAAAGGAAATAATTGCAGATGTTTCGTAAAATATATTTATTATTATTTAAACAAAAATGTACAGTCCAATATACACATTGTTACAAATGTGCTTATGTAAATCTTAATTTCACAACACGACCATTATTGTTTAAAAAAGCAAACAAATTTAAAATATTCTACTTTTTGAATTTGTGGAAACGTAAAAAATAATGGACGATATAAATCCTGAGAAAAATATTTTTTTGTAAATTCATTTCAATTATAAATATATGGGACATTTCACGTCTAACCGAACACCCTACCTACACGAAAACTAATTTGAGATATTCAATATGGTGAATCAAATATGGCGCCTACAAAAGTCACTCTTCATGGNCTGAAAGGAAAACTACGAATATTACACAGGTAAACAGTTAAGTGTTGATTTAAATTTTAAATGTATGTATTATACAGGGTTCTTCACGGTAAGTGGCCTATTAGACGTTTCAGAGGAACCAAAGACAATATGACTCTGAAATTTTTTTACGGGTCTCTTCAATGAAAATAATGCCATCACGTAGCACTTCCGGTTATACCAGAAGTAGCTGTCAACTTCGTTATTTTAAATGGAACACCCTATATATTATTGCATTATCGACAAGATAAATTAAAAATAAGTCAAAAATGTTAAAGCTTCCCTGTACCTAAATAACCGTTTTCGGGATAATCGTCATTTTACAAAAATTTTGACAGATACAAGACAAAATTACTTGTTGAAAATTATACTAAGTGTCCCATTTTTCACGTTACATTTTGAAAACTTAAAACTGACAAAACTTTTTAAATTCAAATAGAACACCCTGTATCTTTCTGCATCATATTACAGAAAATCAAATTCTCTTTTCACCAATACAGGCATTGTAGGGGTTACAGTTTAAATTTTCGCAGATATAGGCATTATAGGAGTTACACATCTCAAAAATCGACACTAACACTTAAGCACGTTGCACAATAACAATATCATGAAACCTATCCACGAACATGTAGTAACAGAGGAGGTGGTTATGTCAACCGCATATCACTAATGTTTCCATTAGCGCACAATTCAAGGAGTTTAGTTGTTTTCTCAACAGACCTCGTATAAATTTATATTTGGCGGGGGTTGGTGAAAGCGGTCATATTTCGATATTAAGGAGTGATACCTAAGAAAGAGATTATATTATTTTTTAAGGGATGAGTTCTAGCTCCACAAAAAGAAAATCGCAAGAAAATTGCGAAGCATAGAAAGAAATTAGGGGTTGCCGACCCTGCGATCTCGAAGAGGGTAGCAAAATATTAAGCAGCTTTTTCCTTGAGACTTTTTTATGAAAAAATATATGAAATTTATGGTGCATTTATAGTGCTTCATTGTTTATTGTAATATTAATTTAGATATGATAAAATCACCTCGAAACGATAAAGTCCTTTTCTATCTTCCACTTAATTTTTTTTGAGGTCCAAACACATATCGTGCGTATAATTTTGGCATATCAATAATCGAATCAAATGTAACGGAAAGTAACAGTGTATTTTTTAAGATAATCAGATAACATCGATAAGAATATTGTATAAAAGAAAGTCGAACCAAAAAATATTCATAATACCAAGAGGTCAAGTATTGCCATAGGACCATAATACCATAAGATGAAATTCATTTTACTAAGTTGTCTGATGTCATCTCTAGTCTTTGATCTCTGATTTGACTAACGCTGGTAAGTTGTTTGTATGAAAGCATATTCCCAATCCCAAATACACTACAGAACAAAATAATTTGCGTTAAACGAATTGATTCCACAAAAGTTATATTCGCAAGAACGACTCAGTTTATTACATAAAATCAGAATAATCCAACATAAATATCATAAAAATTATGTCCTACATTATATTATTTCTTTTTAGTTCGTTAGTATTTATCTTTTATTTTTATTATTTCTTGTTATTTATTTTATTTATTATTATTTCATTTTATTTTGCATTTCATTATTTATTTAGTACTACATAGTTTCTTCATGTTTTAATTTATTTAGGTCAAGACAAAAATTTAAAGAAAGAACGAATCTAAATAGAACTGTTTTAAATTTTACTATTTCCTTTCTTCTAACTTTTATTTTTTTCAGAGTGCGGCTCAAATGAAGTAGATTTGTTGTGTGAACCATGCGCTGCAATCAGTTGTGGCGATGTAGCTCCTGAAGTTTGTATCGATATATGCCGCAATCCGGGCTGTTACTGTGACGCCGGGTATCTAAGGAAGAATGGCGTTTGTGTTCTTGAGAATGAATGCGAAACAATTTTATAAAATCCGTAATGTAGTTTCAATATAATGCATTTTTAGTCAAGTTTATTTTTTTTTTGTTTTAATTAGACATTCCCAGTGCTTCACAACAAAGTTTTCTATTAATACGATAGTAAATGGGAAATATGTAAAACTTTTAGAAAAAATTAAATGTAGCAAATTGTTAATGTGAATTATTTTTATTATCAAACACTTGTATATAATGACACTATAATTTCTTTGGGTTTAAAGGAATAATGTGGCCTATAAGTCAATAGTGAGTTATAAGTCATAAGTCACTAGTAAGTTATGACTTATAACCCACTAGTGACTTATAGAAATCATAAAAAGACAAATGTTTGGTTTATTTTTCTAGTTTTTATTAGAAAACCAATTGGAAACAGTAATTAGTCAACAAACAACCTAAAATGCTACAAACTTACAATCTACCTACTTATTAATATTAACATTAACATTAACATTTATGGTAAAGCCGTAATTTGATGCCAAAGGATTACTGGAATCATTTTGTGATTGCGGTAAATTTATAGAACAGGTTGCCCCTTTGCTTGTGCTTGCTTCAGGAGACTGCACCCCTTGTATCTTTTCAGCAATATCAATTTTGCTCGAAATTGACTCTTCTGTATAACCTTAGCGAGTACCTTCTCTTTAAAGGGCTCATGAGTCGTTAATTTTCCACATTTTCCAATGCAATTCACGGTAAATCGTAGTTTACGTCGGAAACTTTATTTTGCGAAAAATTCAAGTCTTAATATTTATAAACAATTGCGCTACGATTTTAACAAAAAATTCTTATCTTGGCTCCTGTTGGTCGTAGAAGGTACTTTTTTATTTTAAAACTGTATTTTTTTGCCAGCTATCCATTGCATCTATTTTCGGTGAGATAGCATAAACAAAAAACGCACGGTTTTTTAATGCACAATTTCAGAATGTTAATGTCAAAAAACGGTGTTATTTTTTAATAGGTCGCTTAATTACGTCTTTAAGATTACAATGACGCTTTCAGAATCATGTTTGGTTGAAAATTAACGCCTGTCCAGAGGCTTAAAGTTCATAACTTTTGGAGCCTCCGTTATAAACATATAGAATTGTGCGAAAACTATTGCACCTACAGCGTCCACTTTTGGCACACTTTTGAAGTATGACAAAACCCTAAACTTGTCATAGGTTTTATAAAATTTTAGCAATAAATGCGATAGTTATAAACAAATTAAAAAATGGGCACTTCTCTTGTTTTTTTGCAATAACTTTTTTGTTTATTAACCGATTTTAATTTAACAAGTCTCATTTTGTGGATAATTTTACTCCCTTATAAGCTGTCTGTGAGTCACTTTTCGCTAAAATTAATGGTTTTCCCTGCAAAGTGAAAAAACTGTTTTCCTCACTTATTCGTTTAAATAGAAAAGTTAGCTAATAAAAGATTTTGACTCACGAGATGAGAGATGTCTTGTATTATGTTCCTTTAGACAATTTTACAACAATCTCGCGGATAGGACTTTTTTCGAGTAAAAATTTAATTGGCTTGGTCTATAGGTACGTCTAAATCATTCATTTGCTTGAAAATCAAAACTTTTTCAATAGGCTAAAAAATGACCGCAATTGCCGCATTATTGCTGTGTACTGCTATAAACGATTATCTGAAAAAACATAAAAAGTAAGGGGTTTGAACAATTCGTGCTGTCGTGAATAACAAACAATCTTTGAATAAATATAATTCGTGTTTTCCGATACACTTGTATGTGACTTTTTTATGGTACATGAAAGCTAATAACCTAGTAAGGAAAGTGTTATTAAAATTTATTTTGCGATTAGAAAAGTTTATTTATGGGTACGCATAAAAATCTGCCGGAGCAGTGTTTTACAAAGAGTCGACTGAATAACCAACATGGGATACATATTTTACAGTAGTTTGTTCTGTTTAATACTAGTGTATTCAGTTGATGGTAAGTGTTTGCCGTGGATATTTGAATTAAACAAAATATGACGAAATTGCAGTACCTACAAACCACTGAAAAAATTGATAATTCTTGGAAAAAATTAATGTAAAAATATTATGGGTCGTCCTTTTTACAATTATATTTTGTTGTTCGTTCTTGTATATATTTTTTCGTCTGTCACTGCTACTTTTTCCTTTGAAGAACAATTCGTTCGAGAGATTTTTTAGAGCTTTTAGTTTTAAATGCGACACAAATAATACTCATTTTTCAGCGTTCTGTGGCAAAAATGAAGTTTACTACGAATGCCAACCATGCGCTGCAATCAACTGTTTCGAATCGCCTCCTTTTTTTTGTCCAAAAATATGCCAAAATCCAGGGTGTTACTGTGCACCTGGATATTTAAGACAAAATGGAATCTGTATTCCCGAAGAACAGTGTTCTAGTGGTATGTTTTTTATTTCTTAGTTAAATCGCTTATATTTTCCGTCAACTAACTGTAAAAATTCAAAAGTGAGTAAAATAATGGAGATTGCTATAAGACTAATTAACCTTGACTGACAAAAATAGTAGAAACATAACCGAATTAACTTTCTTAGTAAATTAAAATAAAACAAAAACATTGTTAAAAACCATAAGTTCGATTTAAATGAGACATACTTTTATGTGACATTTCAGCAACGTGTGGACCAAATGAATATTACTATGAATGTCAACCATGCGCAGCTTTTAACTGTGGCGACAGACCACCAGAAGCTTGTATTGCTTTATGCCGGAATCCAGGATGTTACTGCAGACCAGGATATTTGAGGAAGAATGGAGTCTGCGTGCCTGAGCAGTTCTGTTATAGTAGTTCGTTTTTAATTTTTTAGTTAAATTACTATACTGCAGTTCTCTACAAAGGGGATAGAAAATTTATTAATTCTAGTTAATGCTAAAAATTACTGAAATGGATATTTTGGAATAGACCTGACGACCTAGTACAACAGTCATCATTAATATCTTCACTTCATAGAGACAATTTTTGTAATATTAGAAAACTAGTTATACTCAACAAGATCCTGCAATTTTTTTTCATTGGTGACAAAGAAACAGGGAAAATATTTTTTCTTTTAATAAAAAATAATTTATTGTCTTTAATTTTAGGTTTCTGTGGACCCCATGCGAGCTACTCCGAATGTCAGCCATGCGCTGCGATCAACTGTGGAGATAGAGATCCGGAAGTTTGCCTGGATTGGTGTATTAACCCAGGTTGTTATTGCGATCCTGGATATTTACGGTACAATGGGGTCTGTATACCCGAAAAATTCTGTCCTACTGGTAATTAATAACTTTTTTTTAATCAGTTCATTAAAGTAGGAATGAAACTAAGTAGGAATTGAAGCAAAGAGAGGAACCAACAAATCTAGGTTTAGGAAAGCTCTTGTTTTGATTATTTTGTCAGATGTTCTTCAAATTGACTTTTATCTCTGTTCCAAAGTAATGAAGAAAAAATTACTTCCTATATGGGGGTTTCTTTTACATAAAAATAGTGCTTATAAATGAGACATTCTATTTTCAGCAACCTGCGGCAAAAATGAAGTCTATCGTGAATGTCAACCATGCGCTGCTATCAACTGTGGAGATAGAGATCCGGAAGTTTGCCTGGCTTGGTGTATTAACCCAGGTTGTTACTGCAAGAAGGGATTTTTGAGAAAGAATGGGGTCTGTGTGCCAGAAAAATTCTGTTCGGGTTATTAATTACTTGTATTCCCAGAAATTAATAAATGAATATTAATTTTTATAGAACACTGTGTTTTATTTCATATTTTAGGTCGGTCGATAGCCGCACGGTTTAAGGCGTCAGTACTTAAATCGATGTGTCGAACTGCCCGGGTTTCGAATCCTGCGATCGGTGACCGTAGATTATCTATACTTGTACGGAGGATTGGCGCCCTCTGTGCAGGTATGGTAGGGTGGAAAAATGTGAGAGATTGACACCGGTTGACATTTGACCACCCCCCTAATTAATGAGGTTTTCCAGGTTTCCCTCATTCCTGCACTGAATGGTGGTTAAGGCCTACCAACATAAGTCGTTCCTGGGCGCAAATGCGGCCTGCGTAATAATAATATGCCGCCTCCTCTCCCGCACAAGTCTCCGACTTCTGGGCTAATTCTCGTAATTAGAATGAGGAGTAGAGATATTATTATTATTATTATATTTTATATTTGTCGATTTAGTTTTAATAATTATTAACTATTGACATATCGACGTATCCGGAATTAAGTATATCTTTGAAAAAGAAGTCTGATGGATATTTTACCTAAAACACATTTTTAAAAGAACGAAAAATTAAAGAAAAGTATTTTTGAATAAATATTATAGATTGCGATGGTTATCGCAATTAGTGGTGTGTGTCAAAAATAAAAAAATTAGCCGATGCAAAAACTATAACTCCCAGAAGTAGCTTTTACAATAGCATTTTAGCAAACACACAGGCCGATCTTTTTCCATTAAAACGTCATGGTGGGAATACAACACTAGTACAAAGAAAAGGAAATAATTGCAGATGTTTCGTAAAATATATTTATTATTATTTAAACAAAAATGTACAGTCCAATATACACATTGTTACAAATGTGCTTATGTAAATCTTAATTTCACAACACGACCATTATTGTTTAAAAAAGCAAACAAATTTAAAATATTCTACTTTTTGAATTTGTGGAAACGTAAAAAATAATGGACGATATAAATCCTGAGAAAAATATTTTTTTGTAAATTCATTTCAATTATAAATATATGGGACATTTCACGTCTAACCGAACACCCTACCTACACGAAAACTAATTTGAGATATTCAATATGGTGAATCAAATATGGCGCCTACAAAAGTCACTCTTCATGGTAAATTTAGGAAAAAACATTGATCAAATTGTGAAAATTTGGGCAATATGTCCCCAATGTATATATTAGACTGTATTTGGGTGCGTTGATTACGAATCTACCATCGGAAATACGAAATTCAAAATGGCAGATCCAATATGGCGGATATAAAACCAATATAACCGTATCATAACGATTTCAAGTTTCTTGAATGTTAGAGTCTGGCTATTTGGGTTCTTTGATAACAAATTTGCCATTGGTATTTTGAAATTCAAAATGGCGGAACCAATACGGCGGAAGAAAAACCTCGACTATCCTTCTTCGGGGCAAAAAACGATTACGTCTCACATAAAGTAATGTCTGGAGTTTTTAGGAAGTGCGCTTACAAATTTACTATTGAAGTTTTAAAATTTAAAATGGCTGATCCAATATGGCGTACGCAGAACCCCGAATCTTCTCATTGTCGTCAAAAAACGATTGCAAATCTCTTAAATCACTGAAAGGAACTAGTCTAAAGGTTCTTAGGAAGTCTCATTACAAATTTGGCATTGGGTTTTCAAAATTCAATATGGCGGACATGTTCCTCAACTACCCCTCCTTTGAGGTAAAAAAACCTGATCCATGTCCAAAAAATTCGACATTGATATTCTAATGCTAATAATCATTTTTACAGCTTTATAACTTTTGACTTCTTGTTCGCGGTATTTTCACTGGTGATTCTATTCAGATGTGCTTATTTTCAATTTCATATTTCATCAATGTATTCTCAATGGTAAATTTAAAATGCACTTTCGTATTCCTAACTATGAACCTTTGGCCTGCCCTTGTTCTCGGGCTAGTTTCTGTGGGGGCCGAGCCTCTCTCAGAACTCCTAGGCAATTCAAGGCGGGCCATTTTACGAAAAATGAGTGTTTGTTTTTTGTGAAATAAGATTTTCCAAGCACTTTTAGAAATTAAATCAAATACTACGGAACGCTAAAGGAAAGTTTGTTTCCTTCATAAGTAGAATGTGATTAATTCTAACAAAGCTTCATCAATGATCAAATGGTCTTCATCTTAGGTAAAATAGTTTTAGGAAAATAATTCGTTTTTAGCCTGGTAACAGTAAAACAATTCTTTATAATGCTGATTGTCTCGGCAAACTAGGAACGCCGATTTCCCTCATTGCACATTATGTGTTTTGCATAATGTTTATTTAAATGCAATTAACAAAAGCAAATATATGTGTTTTTACGAAATATCTGAACAGGACTTTATTAAATTTAAAAAATTTATTACAGTTAGCTTTGAGATTAAAAGTAACAGTATATAAGACATGAAAAATTGAAACAGTCTGCAGTATTCCGAAGTTGACGAAAATAATCAACATGAAGTACATATTCACCATTGCCTTGCTTTTCGTGGTATTAGCATATTCTGGAGCTTCGCAGATCAGTCAGTGTGGTAAGTGTGTATTATAAATAATTGAGGAGTTCTTTGTCAAATGTTCATGTGTTACCAAATGCAAAATTTTCGGAAAATAAATGCTTCATAACTTTACTAAGCAAATATATTGACCAGTGATGATTTTTTTTGTTTGATTTAATTGAATTTCGGATACATATCCATAGTCATCGAGAATTTTTCAAGTACGGCTCTTTGTTAAGAAAAATATTAAGTAAAATTAAAATCTCAAAGGCTGAAGATTTTTAGTATTATAATCTTTTGTATAATTCAGACAATATTGCCACTGTGAGTGTTCCGCTTTAAATTGTTCACACTACAATATACTCTTACCTCTCTTTTTTTTAGTCCTAACCATAACTCAAATTACTGATTCTAATAGTTTCGTAATTGTTATTTTCAGTGGTCTGCGGTCCCAACGAGTGTTATTACCATTGTCAACCATGTACTCCTGTGAATTGCGGAGACAAAGATCCCGTAATTTGTACAGCCATATGCCAAAACCCAGGATGCTACTGTTTACCAGGATATTTGAAGAAGAATGGAACTTGCGTACCCAAACATGAATGTCCTGGCTGTGTTTAACAAATAATTTAAATTTGAAAAAAATAAATATGGGTACCTATTATAATCGCTTATAACATAAATATTATATCTACAGCATTATTGTGTTTTATTTTGAATACGAAGATTTTAAGATGAAGTAATAAGGCAAAACTGAAAGCGTAAGAAATGTAAAATCCACCAAACAATTACTGATACGAGTACATTAGAAAATGTGTGTAACTATACAGGGCGTCCGAAAATTATGCGTCAAGATTTCAGGGGATGATTCCTCACAAAAATTAGGGTCACAAAGTCCTATAACAATTTTTCGAAAACTCAATATTAACGGAGATACAGAGTGTCAAAAAAGTTTTAGTTTTTCTTACATAACTTTTTTATTTGTGATTTGATTTTTTCCAAGTCTTTCCTATGTATTACTAGTGCCCTTGTAGATTTATGTTCCAAATATGATGCAAATACTCCAGTGCCAAACGGCCTAACCTGACCTTAATCTTCGATCTATGGCCCACAACTTTTTTGTTTTCACCGCTTTCGGTTATTTATTCGAATAAAGAAATTTTTTTAAATATTTTAACACCCTGTATCTTTTTAACGAAGGGTCCTAGACAAAAACTTTATAGGAAAGACTTCCCTTAAAATTCACCAAAGAACACGAGGTATCATTTCTGATCACCATTTGTGTGTATAATAGTCGTACATTTTTGTTCCTCACCTCATTTCAATTTTAAAAATTGTATCTATACGTAAAATAATATTTTTGGTTTTGTTTCTATTTTTCAACTTATTTAAGGCCATACATTAATGTGCTTCGGCAAAAATTCAAGTTGTGTCATATACGCCGTGTGAAATGTGATCACATGACAAATATCTCTTCAAATATATTTCCTCATGTTTTATTTTATCGATGTACATCGTCAGCACGATACGGCACCTGTTTAGGTTTGACAAATACTTGGAAATTAACTCCATCATCTGGAGCCACCTGGATCTCTCACAGATGTTTGTTTGATATAATTTAAGGATTTGCAAGATTTTAATCTATTTATATAAATCCTGAGAAAAATATTTTTTTTGTAAATTCATTTCAATTATAAATATATGGGACATTTCACGTCTAACCGAACACCCTACCTACACGAAAACTAATTTGAGATATTCAATATGGTGGATCAAATATGGCGCCTACAAAAGTCACTCTTCATNTTTTTTTGTAAATTCATTTCAATTATAAATATATGGGACATTTCACGTCTAACCGAACACCCTACCTACACGAAAACTAATTTGAGATATTCAATATGGTGAATCAAATATGGCGCCTACAAAAGTCACTCTTCATGGTAAATTTAGGAAAAAACATTGATCAAATTGTGAAAATTTGGGCAATATGTCCCCAATGTATATATTAGACTGTATTTGGGTGCGTTGATTACGAATCTACCATCGGAAATACGAAATTCAAAATGGCAGATCCAATATGGCGGATATAAAACCAATATAACCGTACCATAACGATTTCAAGTCTCTTGAATGTTAGAGTCTGGCTATTTGGGTTCTTTGATAACAAATTTGCCATTGGTATTTTGAAATTCAAAATGGCGGAACCAATACGACGGAAGAAAAACCTCAACTATCCTTCTTCGGGGCAAAAAACGATTACGTCTCACATAAAGTAATGTCTGGAGTTTTTAGGAAGTGCGCTTACAAATTTACTATTGAAGTTTTAAAATTCAAAATGGCGGATCCAATATGGCGTACGCAAAACCCCGAATCTTCTCATTGTCGTCAAAAAACGATTGCAAATCTCTTAAATCACTGAAAGGAAATAGTCTAAAGGTTCTTAGGAAGTCTCATTA